AGAGAAACAATATTCGGCCCATCCAAAAGGATAGCTCACTGAGCTCAATAAGACTTGGCTTCATTTGAGAAAAGAAGTCTACTGTTACAGAAAAGCCACTTGAAAAACGGTTACTGTATTTTTCTGTGTATAAGACGCCCCCATGTATTTGGGGGGACTAAATTTAAAGAAAATTAGGGGAGATGGCCCAAAGTTGTTGAGCTTTATTAAGGGGGAATTGACTGCACGCCATCACCCCTGCATGCACCTCCCACAGCAGCATGGGGAGGGGGAGTTGCACACCCGCCAACCAGCGGGCTGGCAGTGCACAGCTTCCCCCCCCCCATGCTACTATCCGTGTATAGGACGAGCCGTTTTTTGACATGATTTTTGAGTCAAAAAACCTTGTCTAAATCGGTGGCTCATGTCCTTCTGGCTTGCAGTCTTTATAAAGATATGAGGAGTGAGGTTATCATACTGTCCATTCTGGGACGCCCAACCACTGTCACAGTGTCCATTCCCTTGGCAGATCAAGATGAATAGTGACAGCAAAGGTTGCAAGGTTTTTAGCCAGGGCAATTAGAAGAAGATCCACTATTGGACTATTGATCCAAATCCCCAAAATGTCTTTTATATAATTGGCTTTTTACCTTTATCTTCTGCATACCGCATTTTGTTTGTGTTATTGCTATGGCTGGTGTCCGATGCAAATAAAGATTCATTCATTCATTCATTCATTCATTCATGTAAGCCACTAAGAATCTGACTCTACCTTAGGAGGCAGTTTTGCTCAGTCAAATGCAGTGGGTCACGGAGAAGGAAAGGGTCATGTTTATATAATGTAGTTCTGGTTCTTCTGCACCTACACTAGGAAATTAACTGCATTTTGTACCAGCTGCTGGTTTGGGATCATTGTCAGCAACCCAGCCCTGCTACAGCAATTTAGCCTCAAGGTCAGGAAGATCCAACAGCATTGGTTAAATAGCATCACAATGAAATAATACGCAGTTGAAAATGTTGACAATAGAACCCGGGGGGGGGGGGAGTCTCAAGATTCAGAGAAATCTCTTTATATGGATACGTATTTGGTATTGTTATGAATTTATATTTGTAAAATCAAATCAAAACCATTTCAAACAAACAAAATAGCATCACTGACTAGTTTGTGACCTTGGTTGTCTTCACCCTTGCAGAATTCAAGGAAATATCTGAGGACCAGCACTCGCTTTCTAATCTCAAACCACGAGTAAGTATGAAGCACAGTCCGGACCATGTTATTGGTGGGGTGGGTGGGTGGGTGTACACACACACACACACACACACAGAGAGAGAGAGAGAGAGAGAGAGAGAGAGAGCGCTACAGCAGAATAAATCTACCACAAATGCACTGCTGTGTTAACATGTTGCAGAATGCACCAGACACCAAGAAGAAGAAGAGGAGGAGTTTGGATTTGATATCCCGCCTTTCACTCCCTTTAAGGAGTCTCAAAGCGGCTAACATTCTCCTTTCCCTTCCTCCCCCACAACAAACACTCTGTGAGGTGAGTGGGGCTGAGAGACTTCAAAGAAGTGTGACTGGCCCAAGGTCACCCAGCAGCTGCATGTGGAGGAGCGGAGACGCGAACCCGGTTCCCCAGATTACAAGACTACCGCTCTTAACCACTACACCACACTGGCTCTCCAGTCTGCAGGGACCCTTACTTAACTTGTTCCAGGGTTAAACCCTGTACAACAGCTTGGAGTATGATTGAAGGCTATGGTCCCTTTAAATCTCCACCCTCTGGAGGCTATTTCATGTATTACTAGACTAGCCTCTGAGTCAGCATTGTACTAGGAGCTCAGTGCCCATGCAGATCAAAAGCTGGCCCAATAATGAGCATGAACTTGACGTTTATATAAGTGTAACACTGTCATATTTACGTTGTTTTTGAATTATCTTTCATGGCTTTTTGTACGTACAATGCAATGACAGCATGACATGTGTCATTTAGCAATATATCTCAACTGCCCTGAAGAAGACATACAAAACGAAGACCATACCCGGGCGTCTCGTCGACAGGAGTCCTTCGTGTACACAGTCTTTATCTGGAAGATTTACTCCATAGTTGAACTATTGAACTCTTGTTCTCAGTTATACTGAACAGCAATTTGCAAGACTATATATATATATATATATATTCAAGTTCTTTGTGACTGTACATAAATACCTTGTATGGATATTATTTTGAGTCATAATACCAATTGCATTGGGACATTCAGTGCATATTATACTTTCATTGTATACAGAGTTGTGTTCATTTTGTTTTGATTAGATTCTATTCTCTCTATTCCTTCGTTGTTGGATCCAGGGTTATTCCCTGGCACAAGAAATAGGCTCTGGAGCTGAGCCCTGGCAGAGTGACTTGTGGCCCTGCGTAAGCCCAACAAAGCATTAAAGGGCCCACCTTTCTCTGATGAAACAGCTACGCTTCCCTGTCTAATATTTCCCCCTTCTGATTTGTTGCAGGAAGCTAGGCGCTGTGAGGAATAGCAAACCGTTTGGGCCTGTTCGAAGTTCAACAGCTAGTTGATGGCACCGCCAACAACTGGCTGATTTCTTTGTTAGGGTTTCAGAATTAAACATGATGCGCGGAAAGAACGTCTCTTCCTTGCTTCCCTTATGCCAACTTTGCCAGCGCCAAGGCACACACCTTCTCAGGATTCTGTTCAAAATTCATGAAAAAGAATATTGGAGCCACGTCAGTATTTGCTCTGAAGGCAAATCCTAGCAGCCAGTCAGTCAACAAAATACTTGCTGCTGAAGATATTGCCCATATGTTGTGGTTTGGAGATACCATACTTCCTTCTTTGCTTTTGGATTGAAGTTTAGTAGCAGATAAGCACCGCGACGGGGTGAGCTCCTGTTGCTCGGTCCCTGCTCCTGCCAACCTAGCAGTTTCGAAAGCACGTCAAAGTGCAAGTAAATAATTAGGTACCGCTCCGACAGGAAGGTAAACAGCGTTTCTGTGCGCTGCTCTCGTTCGCCAGAAGCGGCTTAGTCATGCTGGCCACATGACCCGGAAGCTGTATGCCGGCTCCCTTGGCCAATAAAGCGAGATGAGCACCGCAACCCCAGAGTCGGTCACGACTGGACCTAATGGTCAAGGGTCCCTTTACCTTTAAGCACTGTGTACTCGGCTCTCCCTTACCCCCCCCCACACACACCAGCCAGAGCTGACAATACTTCTTCCCTTCACTGCATCCGATCATGTGGAAATGGGCAAGTCCAGCCCCTGTAATATACAGAATAATGCACTCCCATGATAAATATATTTATTAAATTAAGAACATCAGGGCACCAGTGCTCATTTGAAAGTATTTCTTTGCCGAATATTAATTCAAATACGGAGTATCACAAAACTTATTGAAATAATGAAACAAGAGTAGAGATGGGATTGCGTCCCACTGTACAGATTGGGGGCAGGCGAAGACATTAAGGTGAGGCAAGCAGGGATGGCTCAATGCCAACATGGTTGATTGTGCTTATTTCAGAGAACTAGCACACATGAAAAGAAAACATCCAAACCTTGCCAGCAGCCAGCAAAACTGCCTACGGCCACAATCCTAAGCACACTTACCTGGGAGTAAGCCAAACTTAACAGACTTACTTCCGAATAGAAAAAAATATATGCATATGGCTGAATGGCACATATTAAAGCTGTTTGCAAATGGATAAGTAAAGTTTGTTCCTAGGTGTCCACAGGCTGCCTTAGGTCAGAATGAACTGAGGCAATGTGTTATTCCCCGTTCTACCGATAGCTCTGAGAGAAAATGTACCAAATCTTTCTCCTTTCCAACCCCATTGCACCATGGATAAGAACTGAAAGCACGGAGCGTTTGCCGATATTACTTGATCATCTGTCACCAGGTAGCTGTAGTTATCATTTGTATTTAAGCACGCAAGGCTGAAAATGCCTCATGCCACACACAGGAGCAGCCCTTTCTCATCAAGAGGTTCCTGACATGCAGTTTTTGTTCTCTGGCGGTTGCTTCCTTGCGCAAGACATGCACAGCCCGGTCTCACAGAATAAGCCGCAGTGGGGGGGAAATATATGATGGCTTTCGCGGAATGCAGCCAAGATGCACGAGGAAGTTGATAAGGCGACATCCGCTACGTAGCAGCATCTACCTAGTGGTGGAATAGGAGCATTTACGTCAAATGCCAATCAAAGGAAGAAGAAGGGGTGGGGGAAAGAATATACTTCAAACATTCTTCAGACTAGAAACAGGGATTGAAATTGGGAGCAAACAATTGGGGAGTACATCCGAGAGTACAGCATAAGGAAACAAAACTCCGCAGCTCTCATCCAGACAGTAAGTCATAGAAAAATAATGACATCTACCGAGTGTGCCAACTCAAGCTGAGATGATGGATTGTTCCACTTTTAACATCACAAAGCGGATTATTTATACAGAAGGAATCAAACCAGTGTGATTTTTCCAGCTCTCTACCTTCAAGGAACCCTTTTCAGCATTTTTTTGTCCGCTGAGGGTCACCTGAGCATCTGCCATGGAACCCCCGCATGCTTCCTTTCTTGGGCTATGTTCCAAGGTTGACACTCTGTTTATGCAAGTCAGGGTCTTTAAACCATCTGCTCACATCAACTGAGATGGGTATCACAGAGCACACCACGATATCCCCTGCTGAAGGCTGGCAATGGTGGATAAAGTCTCTTTCAAGGACACATGTCTGCTACAGTTAACTGGTTCACTGAAGAAAGAACCACTTTTAAGTTTCCCCCAAAAAAACCCTCCAAATGCAATTTTGAAACAGATGGGCTAAACCATTGGCCTTCAACTTGTGGGTCAGAAGCTACTACAGTGGTACCTTGGAAGTCGAACAGAATCCGTTCCAGAAGTCCGTTCGACTTCCAAAATATTCGGAAACCAAGGCACGGCTTCCGATTGGCTGCAGGAAGGTCCTGCAGCCAATCGGAAGCCACAGAAGCCCCGTTCGAAATTCGGGTTCCAAAGAACGTTCTCAAACCGGAACACGCACGTCCAGGTTTGCGGCATTCAGGAGCCAAAACGTTTGACTCGCAAGGCGTTCGGGATCCAAGGTACGACTGTACTAGGTCACAGATTGATCTAATGTGGGTCGTGACAGCAGCACTACCACCATAAAAAATGGTTAAAAATAATAATAATAAAGAAATAGGCCCCCCCCAATGCATCTGGTGGGCCTTGGGTCTGAAAACGTTGAAGACCACTGGTCTAAATCATAAGTATACTGAGAACTTGAGTTTTAAATGGAAAGTTCACGATAAAGGTTTTGGTTGACACACATTAACAGCCCCAGGAAGATCTACTGGAAAGTCTTCCTCTATGGGAATTATTATTACAAATAAATACACATGGAAATATTATTACACTGGAATATAAAATCTGCATGGATTTTTTGGAGTGTGGGGGGTGGGGCTGCCATGAAAACCCATATTCTGGGGACATCCCTGCATATATACCCCCCTAGCCATTTGTTTATTCGGGATTTTATTTCCAAATAGTTGTTTTTTCCGGTTAGAAAGATGGAAAGTTTCCCGTGCTTCAAACACAATTCTTAGTCCATTATTTAGGGCAACTTGCAAATACAATAGGAGGGACAGAAACAATCCCCGATGGTCTTTGACTGCTCAAAATATAGTTAGCTATAGTTGGGGCTATATTTAGGTTACATAACATGGTTCGTTTTTCAGGCAGAAAGTTAAGAGCCTTGCTGATTTGCCCTGGGAGATTTTGCCTTTCACAAAAAAGCACCAACTTTTACCATCTGAATAGGAGCTCTCCCAGTTCTAGCCTGGTTAAGAAGTAAATAAACGAACAAATAAAAGTACCTTATTTTGTTACATGAACTTAACTCTTTCACTGAATTTATCCATCCAAGATTGCAGTGATCAACAGAAAAACCGAGCTTGTGTGTTCTTCCTAACATTTTTTGCAGTCTTTGCCTGGAACCACCACATACGGAGCCTTTTTTTTTACACTGCATTTATGCTTCTTTGTTCATCCTGTTATCATTATTTTTGTCGTGAGCAGCCCTAAGATCTTCATTACAGCACAACCTAGAAATACTGCAAACAAACAAACAAACAAACAACAAACAAACAAACACAATTGCAAGTTTCCCAAAAGCTAAAGGCTTCTGTCCAGACACCTGGAATCTGACATGACTATTGTCCAGTGGCATACAAAAGAAAAATCTCTGGATTGCATCCTGCGGCGCTTTTCCATTCCATTGCAACGTGTGTTTTTTCCGATTGCATTAGAATCTGCTCCCACACAGAGGAAGGTTTCTCTTTGTTTTCATCCCAAGCAAACTGGCTGCTCCAGCAGAGTTCCATTTTCCCCTACTCCTTTTGATCATCCCCATTATTTGCAGCGCATTATCAAACAGGTATATCTCATTCTCTTTCGTTTGTTCGTTCTTTCTTTGGCAAAGCATAGCAGACTACAACCTGACCCAAGAGACTGGCACCCAGAAAGAGTCTGTGTTCAGTTTCTCCAGGATGGTTTTCAGCTGGCTGCAGGCACTCTGCAGATCTTCCTTCACCAGGACAGTGTCAATCAGGTGGCCGTACTGCTCTTCGATGAAGGCAGCCGAGCTGAGCATTTCTTGCTGCTCTTCATCCTGCAAATCAAAAACAGAAAGGGCAACATGAGACGACGTAGCAACCCCCACCAGCTCCGCCACCCCCCCCCGCACCCAAAACCACCAGAAGCCACAAGCTCCCCTATCGCCCAGAATCCCAACCCCCAGCTCAAAGCAGCCACTGTGCTGCACTACAGACTCCTGTAGCACCCTAAAGACCCCTGTGGCACACTATACCCCCCCATGCGAAACGCTCCTCTCCCCCACCCCCTGGCTAGCTACACTACTGGGGGTGCAGTACCATTTGGGCATTAGCCAAGAAAGAAAATCCTCAGGTTGAGGCATGTTGCCGCAGAAAGCAGGTTTTGTTACTTGCAGATAAGCCTGTGAGGGGGAAAGAGACTATGGCCCTTTTTGCACCAAAGAATTCAAAGCACTGTTATATTACTTAATCAGTCATGATTTCACACACACACACACACACACACAAAGAATCATGGGAAATGTAGTTTGTTATGGGTGCTGAGAGTAGTGAGGAGACTCCCTATTCCCCTCACAGAACTACAATGCCCAGAATGGTTTAACAGTCAACTATCCATCTTCACAGGGAATTCTGGGAGCTGTAGTTCTGTGAGAGGAATGAAGGGTCTCCTAGCAACTATCAGCACCAATAATAGACCACAGCTCCCAGGATTCTTTGGGGAAAGCCATGACTGCGGCCTTGTGCTTGCCACCAGGAGATACCTGTTTCCACCTGTCTCATTCCATCCTGTGCTTAAAGCTGTATGTGCCTTTACAAATCAAAGCCAGCACTCTGAATTGGGCCCAGAAACAAACTGGTAGCCAACACAGTTAAGCCACAACCTGTGCTACATGCTCACATCTTCAGGTTCCATTTAACAATCCAGCCACCACATCCTACATGAGCTGCAGCTTCTAAACAATCTTCAAGGGGAGCCCAACGTACAACACACTGCAGTAGTCTTTCCTATACTATACCAGTCAATATTCCATTATTACATCCATCAAAACTTATTTACGCTATTGAATTTATCTGAATGCTGCCAACGTTTTCAAGTGTACACAATTTCCCCCCCATGTATTCAATAAATGTTTTCCAATCTTCTCTAAACGTATGTTCTTCTCGTTCTCTTATTCTATATGTTAAGTCTGCAAGCTGCGCATATTCCATCAGTTTAAGTTTCCGTTCTTCTTTACTTGGGACCTCACTCATTTTCCATTTTGGGGCTAACAAAACACGGGCTGCAGTGGTGGCATACATAAATAAACTTTTTTGACACTTGGGAATTTCCATCTGAATTATCCCCAACAAAAAGGACTCTGGTTTTTTTTGGAAAGGTACTTTTAAACATTTTTTTCCAGTTCATTATGGATTATTTCCCAATACTCTTCTACCCTTTTACAAGTCCACCACATGTGAAAGAACATTCCCTCAACCTCATTGCATCTCCAGCACTTATCTGATTCAGTCTTATACATCTTAGCTAAGGTGTCTCGGTCTTATCTGGATTGAGCTTCAGTTTGTTAGCTCTCATCCCGTCCATTCCCAAGGGCGGGCCCCAATCCAGCACACAAACACTGCCATACCTGCTTGAGCTGCAAAGGAGAAGGCAGTGCTGTGTGTCATCAGCATATTGATGATAGGTAAAGGTAAAGGTACCCTTGACCGTTAGGTCCAGTTGCGGACGACTCTGGGGTTGCATGCTCATCTTGCTCTATAGGCCGAGGGAGCCGGCGTTTGTCCGCAGACAGCTTCCGGGTCACGTGGCCAGCATGACTAAGCCGCTTCTGGCGAACCAGAGCAGCGCATGGAAACACCGTTTACCTTCCCAACAGAGCGGTACCTATTTATCTACTTGCACTTCGACGTGCTTTCAAACTGCTAGGTTGGCAGGATCAGGGACCAAGCAACAGGAGCTCACCCCGTCACAGGGATTCAAACCGCCGACCTTCTAATCGGCAAGTCCTAGGCTCAGTGGTTTAGACCAGTGTTTCCCAACCACTGTTCCACGGCACACTAGTGTGCCGCGAGATGTTGCCTGGTGTGCCGCGGGAAAAATTAAAAAATTGAAAGATTTTTTTTTAAAGTCAAATTTTCGATTGGGGCGCCGTCACTAGATGACCCCTGGGGTTCCCTCCCTCCCTCCCGCTCTGCGCCTCCCTCCTCCTCCTCCTCCGGGGAGGCCCTTCCTGGCTCTCGGCCAAGGCTTGGCGGCTGCCACTCACTCACTCGCTCGCCCACCCGTCCCTCCATCCCTGCACCCGGCCTCTCCCCCTCCGTCCCCGGCACGGGGGCTGCCGGGATCCGTAGTCCCCTCGCCCTTGGGCTCCGCGCCCGCGCGGGGTGCGCGAATTACGTTTCCCAGCGTGGCCTGGTGGGCCGGGCGTTTTGTTTGAAGCGCTCTTCTCCCGGCCATGGAATGAGCGCAGCGGCGGCCGGGCGGGCAGGGGCTCTTCCGCGCAGACCCCGCGCAGCCTGCCTGCGCCCCCCGGAGATCGGGCGGCAGGATGGAGCCCGGGGATCCCCGCGGAGGCGGAGCGGCAGAGGCGGAGGCTGCCCCCCAGGTAGGGCTGCGTCGGGGGTTTTTTATTTTTGCAATGCTGCATCCGCGCCGGAGGGGACGCATCAGACCGCGGGGAGACCCCTTGGCGGGCGTGCAAGGCAATGCATGCGTCCAGGCGTTGCATGGAGTGCAGTGCAATGCAATGGCAACGCGGCGCCCTGCATGCATGCATGCAACTTCCACTGGCGCTCCGGACTTGGCAGGTGAGGGGGGTCCCCAGTGGGCGGCAGAGAGAGCCGGGAGGGCGAAGGGGAGCCGGGGGGAGCAGCGCTGCTCCCCGAGCCGAGCCCGGGGGGAAACTTCGGCGTCCAGGCAGGCTCCACAAATAACCCAGAGATGCATTTTAAATAAAAGGACACATTCTACTCATGTAAAAACATACTGATTCCCAGACCATCCATGGGCCGGATTTAGAAGGTGATTGGGCCGGATCCAGCCCCTGGGCCATAGTTTGCCTACCCATGGTGTAGTTGATCTCTTACATGGTCTTGCAAAAGGGATCCCTCCTGGTAACAGATCGCAAAGTACCACACTTGGGGCAGGTGGGAGTAGAGTTTGCTTTGCTATCATTTTCAGCGGAGCAGAATCTGGAGTCGCCTTGATGTTGCGGCTCATTTCTGCAAACTAGCTTTTCACGCAAAATACTTACAAGCGGGACAAAAATTTCATCCGTCAGGAGAGACGCTGGGGCATTCTTTTTCTTTTCTGAGATGAGAGGCTTCACAAACACCACATACGGCTTGAACTCCGCCGTCCTCAAGTGCGTCACAGCCTAGGCAGGTAGGAATACAAAGGAATACAAAGGAATACAAAATCCCGTTCACCAATCTGTAAATGCTGCACAGTAACTTAAAGCAAGAAAACAAAACTAGAGCTGGTATTTCCCTCCCCCCCCCCACACACATTTGGCAATTCACCTAATTTGGGATGGACACCTCAAGCTAATCCCAAATAGGGGCAGCATGAATCACTTTGTATGCTTAAGGAGGTAAAGGTAAAGGACCCCTGGACGGCTAAGTTCAGTCAAAGGTGACTATGGGGTTGCAGCGCTCATTTCACGTTCAGGTCGAGGGAGCCGGCGTTTGTCCACAGACAGCTTTCCAGGTCATGTGGCCAGCATGACTAAACCGCTTCTGTGGTGCAATGAGACACCCTGACGGAAACCAGAGCGCACGGAAATGCCATTTACCTTCCTGCTGCAGAGGTACCTATTTATCTACTTGCACTGGCATGCTTTCGAACAGCTAGGTTGGCAGGAGCTGGGACAGAGCAACTGGAGCTCACCCCGTTGCGGGGATTCAAACCGCCAACCTTCTGATCGGCAAGCCCAAGAGGCTCCGTGGTTTAGACCACAGCACCACCCGTGTCCCTATGCTTAAGGAGGGGGCTTGCAATGGCCCTGGAAACCTTATCCTTTTCATTGTGCAGTTAAACACTCTTTTGAAGCCACTGGCCCCGTCAGCAGTTTTAGGGGTTTAGGTGTAGCATCACCCTGCCTACCTCCCCCTGGAAAGACAGTATGATCCTATCCAGGGCAGACAAATCCACTGTTTCCCTCCTCCACCAACAGCTCTGTCTTGTCTACAGTAAATCAATTTGTCTGCTCTCATCCCAAGGAGAGCAGCTTACAGCAGGGTTAGCCGACAAGGGACCCTCCCAATGTTAGGGACTACAACTCCCACCAGCCCCAGCCAGCGTGGCCAATAGACAAAGATGATGGAAGCTGTAGTCCAAAACATCTGAACAGCACCATAATGGCTCACCCTGGGTTACAGACTCTCTTAAATGAGAAAGGATCACGCTCCCAGCCAATAATAAGGAGCTTCTATGGCAACAGCTAGAGGCCTTGATTTGGCCAAACATATTTTGCTAGCCAGGGATGCGGGTGTCGCTGTGGGTTAAACCACTGAGCCTAGGGCTTGCCAATCAGAAGGTCAGCAGTTTGAATCCCTGCGACGGGGTGAGCTCCGTCGCTCTGTCCCAGCTCCTGCCAACCTAGCAGTTTGAAAGCACGTCAGTATAAGTAGATAAATAGGTACCGCTGTAGGCGGGAAGGTAAACAGTGTTTCAAGCACTCTGGGTTTCTGTCACGGTGTCCCGTTGCACCAGAAGCGGTTTAGTCCTGCTGGCCACATTACCTGGAAAGCTGCCTGTGGACAAACGCCAGCTCCCTCAGCCTGAAAGCGAGATGAGCGCCGCAACCCCAGAGTCCGCCTTTGACTGGACTTAACCGTCCTGGGGTCCTATACCAGTTTTTTTTTTACCCCTTTCCCCTGCTAAAATGGTCTGATTTACTACACTCCCTTCCCTAAGACTAAAAACAGACCTGTCCTCAGCCACTCTCCATCCACTACAGTGAATCACCATGTTTGCCACTGCTGGCAAAAGAACAAGAGTTTATATACAGAATTGCCTATTGGATGCAAAAAACAAAAACAAAACCCAGCTCCCCCTGTATAATGATACTCTTTGTTCAGTAAGCAGAGAGAATTTAAATCAGTTTCATGAAACGGCATTTAACAGAACTCTTAGAAACAGAAGCACTTGAACAAAATTCCTGTGAATTTCCTGAAAAGGTGACTGCGTCTTTCCATGTCACGCAGTCCATGGAAACTGCTCCAAGCGCGAGCGGTGTTTTGCCCTATACTGCGATTTCTAAGAGCTGCGTTAAGTGGAGAGACATGGTCTCTCCCCCCCCCCCTAAATGGACTGAGATTCTGCCCAGTTACTGAGCAAGAGAATGTCATCGCAACTCATTGCAACATCGCGAATGGGCAGCCTTGGTACGAATTGGGCAATTCCACTTCCAGGCTGTGAGAGATGGGTTATTAAAAGCGCAAAATCCGAACGGTTGGGGTTTTTTAAAGGTTTTCCTTGAGGAAGGATGTGAGGGCAGTTCCGGATGTCTTGCTCTTTCCAGGTGAGCTTCAGCATTGAAGCAAAGGTGCGTGGCTGCCCCACGGAACCGCAGAAGACTTTCAGCATCAAGCCGGTGGGTTTTTGAGGACAGCCTGACGGTGCAGGTGAACTTCGACTGCGACTGCAATTGCCAAAAGTTTGCCAAGCCGGACAGCGACATCTGCAGCAACGGCAACGGCACCTTTGAATGCGGCATGTGCCGCTGCCACCCGGGCCGCCTGGGCACCCAGTGCGAGTGCTCCGAGGAGGAATACAGCCCCTCGCAGCAGGATAACTGCAGCCCCCGCCAGGGGCAGCCTGCTTGCAACCAGCGAGGAGAATGTATCTGCGGACAGTGCGTCTGCTACAGCAGTGACTTCGGCAAGATCTCCGGCAAGTACTGTGAATGCGATGACTTCTCCTGTGTCCGGTTCAAGGGCGAGCTGTGCTCTGGTAAGTGGGGAAATGTCCGGGGGTGGGGGGCTTGGAACTGGGCTTTCGAGAACTTGGTGCAATTTGAAACGAAAGGACTCATGCTGCGTGGCATTCGTCCCCTTCTCTGATCAAGCAGACTCATGGAAGTTGTAGCCCAAAACATCTGGCTGCTTGGGTGGGGGCTGTTGGCGCACCGTAGGAATGGATGGCGCTCTCAAACACTGCCGGCTCGCTCTCAAAATTTTTGTGTCTAGCCGGAAAGGTTTGGTTTCCTCCTCTGATTTCATGGGGGAAGCTTTGCGTGTCAAGACCCCGCAGCCACCCCCTCGTTGGAAATAACTCACACAAGGACACAGATATTAGGTCTATGTTATTGGGCAAATTTTGGCCACAACTTTATTGAATTACAGAATGTGAGTGGTATTGGCTCAGGCATTGATTGCCCATATCTGACTCCTGCCCATTGTGCAGGAAGTCCAGTTAGGGTAAGCCACCGGTAGGGGGAGCCCTGTCGGTGCAGACCAACTCGAGCTCTGCCTGGTGTTCCCGTCGGGGTCGTTTCAAAGCCCTAGCCCCCAGCCGGGCTTCGGAGTTTTCTGGCTCACTCCTCGGTTTAAACGGCCCCGGCCACGCCCTCCCGGCCAGCGGATTGGCTGGCTGGGCTCTGACATGGCCTGGATCCCCCTGGCAATGGGGAACAAAATCCCCCGCCCCCGGTGGGGAGTGGGTGGCCATGCGGTCCACCGCAACTCCTCCCCACTGGGAAGTGGAACGGATCTGTGCCCAATTGCAATGTCCCACCTTTGAATCAATCCAAGATTATGTGCGGAAAGGGCAGTACCTTTTTAAAGGCATGTACAGAGGTGTAGCATTGGGGGGGCAGGGGGCGGGACAGGGAGCCCATGGCCCCAGGCACACATTTTTGAGGGGGCACAATCAGACTCCCCCACAACAGGCCAGAGGCAGGTTGGTCTAGTGGTCAGGTGGATGGAGGCAGCAGGTGAGGGGCCTGTTGGACGTGGGCTCTGTTCACCCTCCATGTGGGCTCCACACAGCCGCCCCCCGGCGTGTGCCCCCACCCCAGCTCCCCAGTCCATCGGGTGTGGGGGGGAAACCACACTTGCTCCACCTCGGGTACCGGCAACCCATGCTATGTCACTGGGCATGTGCCCTGGTTCCTTTTCCTTCAGAGAATAATTATCAATTTTTATCAACATGCATCCAACAGTCAATGGTTTTTTTTTTAAAGCAAAGAGGTTTGTAGCTTTGGGCACACATCACAAGCGCAGTGCCAACTGAAGTCTTTCTAACAATAATCAATGCATAGAACCAGCCAGCGCTGGACAGAAATAAAGGTGTTCCTGAGGAATAGCACTTCCCTTCCTAAGTGGTGTATCTGTTAGTCCTTGGCTCCTTTCCTTTAGGACGAGGCCCCAAATGGCAAAGATTTAATTGTAGCTGAGCTTTGATGTAGGAAAAGTACTCACATACTTACTCTGCGAGGTCTGCCAGAAATCAGTTTCTTGCTGATCTATGCTAAGCAGATTACCCTGTCCAAGAGAGTTATTTGGGATACGGGAGGAAAAAAAAGGGGAAAACATGGGGTTTGGATCTTGGAAGGGATTAAGAAATAAGTGCACTTTTGGCCTCACTTCTGAAAGGGGACCTGGAAGCTCCTGGCTGAAAGATAGTTCATACAGATAGATAGATAGATAGATAGATAGATAGATAGATAGATAGATAGATAGATAGATAGATAGATAGATAGATTGATAGAGATAGATTGATAGAGATAGATTGATAGAGATAGATAGATAGATAGATAAATAGATAGATAGATAGATGATAGATAGATAGATATAGATATAGATGATAGATAGATATAGATGATAGATAGATATAGATGATAGATAGATATAGATGATAGATAGATAGATAGATGATAGACAGATAGATAGATAGATAGATAGAGATAGAGATTGATAGATATAGATGGATAGATATAGATGGATAGATATAGATGGATAGATATAGATGGATAGATATAGATTGATAGATGATAGATGGATAGATAGATAGATAGATAGATGATAGATAGATAGATAGATAGATGATGATAGATAGATAGATAGATAGATAGATGATGATAGATAGATGATAGATAGATAGATAGATAATAGATAGATAGATAGATGATAGATAGATAGATAGATATAGATAGATACCGAAAGATACATAGATACTTGAAAGATAGATCATAATGACCTTTGAGGACTTTGTTTTAGCTATACATAGTAGTTTTAATTCTGTTAACGTTTAATTGGTTTTTATTATTTTTCCTATGTTAGCTGTTTCCATTTCTATCTGTAAGCCACCTTGAGTGTTCACATCAGGGACAAAGGCGGGATATAAGTAATTACTATAATAACTATATATACATAGGCAACAGAAACACACACATACAGAACCTTTTGTATTTTGCCATAGGAGGTAGGATTCAAAAAGTAAATAGCATTTTTATTCAAGCATTTGGTGTTCACACGATAGCAAGCTCGTGGGTTACACAAAACTCTTATTCAGGCAGGAACTGAATTTGTTTACCTCCTCAAATATGATTTCTGTGCAAGTGGAAACCTTGATGTTGAAAGGGAGGGTGCCAGTTCAGCAGTGCTTCCTGGTCTGTGCTTGTAATTTATGACTTCTTGATCCAGACTTTGATTATGTCTGCTTCCCTGAAGGAGGAAAGGGCTGCTTGGGTGTGCCTTTCTTTTTAGTTACAGGATTCAGGGTGGCTCCGTGGGTGACTCAATGTGATAAGGACTGGTGGGGAAAGGGGCAACTGTTGTGGTTGTGTGAGCTGGGAGAATCACCCTTGCTCCTTGCACAGAGCAGCAGCGCATTCCGTTCCGTATGAGTTTCTGTGTGTGTTGTGAAATACAACAAACATTGTGCAATGCGGCCGTTTGAGATGTTTACAGCCCATTGATAAAGCAGGCATGCCATTCATTGCGTAAGCCGCTGTGATTCTTTTAGGAGAATACTGACCTTTGATACTCCATTCAGAGGATATCGTAGTAGAAACAAGACGCTCACATAAAGCATGGCTTGGCCCTGAATCCACCACTGAATTGGGAGATAATGTAGCCAAACCTTCTCTTGCCCATCCCTAAAAGACTGAGAGGAAACGAGAGGTGGGAAGCCACAGCAGCCTTGAATCTCACTTGGAGATGAGTGAATCTGTCAGTGTTGGTTTTCCCTCGGTTTCCCATTTTTCCAATCTTCAGTTCTCCACATTTCCAGGTTAGGTCTGTGATTAAAATAAAAAGTACCCATGAAATTCATCAGCATTTTAGTGTGAATTTCTCCTCTGATATACACTTTCCATACGCAGTTTTGCCTCATCCACACACTTCCGCAAAGCCGTTTTCCCTAAGGCAACACATTTTTGTAGGTTGCGTTCGCTAATTTATGCATTGCCATGCACACGTCGTTGCAGTACATGCATGTTCTCGGTTGTAAAACTGAGAGAATTTTGAAGACTTGGCTGTGTTTTCAGTTCATGTATGGTTTTCAAAAAGAGTGACTTGGCCCAAGCTCATTTCTAAATGTGAACTGAATTGAATTCCCCCAATCCCTTCTTCTTTGGCGATCCCTCGTAGCCGAATAAGATTGTCTTCCATAAACACGGTTTTAACAATAAGTCCGTAAGTGACTGTGGAGGCCAATTCTGGATCCACACGTCCTTCCACAGTGGGGACATAGGTTTCCAGGTGGGAGTTGATCTTGGTGTGGATTTGCCAAGCGTTCCTTCCTCTTAGCACGTTTCTCCCTTGCGTTCTGAGTTTAAGTGTCTTCAAAGCCCTTGACACCTTTGTTGTTGGCTGATCTCCAATTGGAGCGCTCACAGGCCAGTGTTTCCCAGTTGTCGGTGTTTATACTACATTTTTTTAGATTTGCCTCGAGAGAGTCTTTAAACCTCTTTTGTTGGACCCACCAGCATTACGCTTTCCATTTTTAAGTTCGGAATAGAGTAGTTTGCTTTGGAAGACAATAATCAGGCATTTGCACAACATGACTAGTCCAACGAAGTTGATGTTGAAGAATCATTGCTTCAACACTGGTGATCTTTGCTTCGTCCAGTATACTGATATTAATTCGCTTGTATTCCCAAGTGATGTGCAAGATTTTTTGGAGACCACCGTTGATGGAATCTTTTGAGAAGCCCGTCTGCCATAGAACAGGCATGTCCAACCGGTCAATCGCGGGGCATCCCTGGTCGATCGTGTGATCCTGACTGATCAACCCCTCCCCCCCAATAAAATCTCAACAACTTTGGGCCTTCCTCCCCAGAAAAAGCTCAACAACTTTGGTCCAATCCAATGGGTAAGATCACTGCCAGTTTTTTATAGTGGGA